TAAGCTGTGTGTGAGCCAGGGGCCTAATCTATTTTTTTGTTTTGTTTTGTTAAAGAATCCCAGCTGGGGGCGCCTGGGTGGCTCAGATGGTTAAGCGTCTGCCTTCGGCTCAGGTCATGATCTCCAGGTCCTGGGATCCAGCCCCATGTCAGGCTCCCAGCTCAGCCGGGAGTCTGCCTCTCCCCCTGCTTGTGCTCTCTGTCTCTCTCTCTCTCTCAAATGAATAAATAAAATCTTAAAAAAAATAAAAAAAAAGAATCCCAGCTGAAAACCTAAATGGGTATAAGGTAAAGTTTTACCTCCCCAACAGCCCCCTGTCTTCAGATAATACCATCTCTAATTTATTAATGAAAACTTGTACTTTGACAGCACTTTTAACTTGTAACTACATACGCTAAGTATTAAGTCCCTTTTGAATAACTGTGCCCAATTTAGAGTAGGCAAGAGAGAGTAACACATGCTGTTTTAAAAACAAAATAGCAGAGATCTGATCGAGTAAGAATTTAGTTTTGATCTTCAGAGCAAAGTTTTGTGGAATGTGAGAAACTCATCTGTACTGCTGTTCCTTCTCTAGCGTTTACTCCATCAGAGCAGGGCAGTGACACAGGAAAAAACGTGAAAGATTTAAAAAAGGCCGAGTTTTGGTATCTCCCTACATTTGAAATCAAGTATGTATATGCTTTAAAGACAAAGTACTGAAGCTACACACTCTGAAGAGCTTATTCAGAGAAGTGGAAGACAAAGGTGAGTGGTACCTAGGAAAACATAGTGGATCTGGGATCAGATGATCTAGATTAGAATCTAGATCAAATCTACATCAGACTGCTGGCTAGTCACTTATTATGTGGGTGAACTTAGGCAAGGTACTGAACTTCATGAACTTTATTTCCCCCACTGATAAAACAATAATAATGCTTACTCTAGCTGCAGGGTTTCTGTAAGCATGGCACAGATGCAAGGTAGTGTGCTGCCCATCTTGCTTAATTCTTGCTGAATGGCACTCCCTCTGCACGAAGCAGAGCCGATGTCTCTGTCTCTATTTTTTTCAAAGATTTTATTCGTTTATTTGAGAGTGACGGAGATAGCTAGAGAGAGCAAGAACTCTTGGAGCTCCCTCCCACAGAGGGAGAAGCAGGCTCCTCGCTGAGCAACGAGCCCGAAGCGGGACTCGATCCCAGGACCCCGGGATCATGACCTGAGCCGAAGGCAGACGCTTAACCGACTGAGCCACCCAGGCACCCTCTGTCTCTACTTTTAAATGGCACACGACTGTTCTGGAGTTGTCTAAGGGAGCTGGTTTAAATAGTTTCTTCAGTCATAACAAACAAAAACGTAACGAAACCAGTAAAGATAGAGGATGTTACTGTTTTGAGAAAGCTTAGAGCAATACAGTTAAGGAACTTATGGATGATTCAAAGTTAACTGCACCTACAATTGTTAACACTTGTAAGTAAAACACTTCATTCAAATTGTTTAATTTTATATTTAGATATACTTACTTTCCCAAGGTAACAAAATGGACGGGAAACAACTAACCAAAGCACACAAAACTAAATGTAGACTTCCTTTAATTTCTCTAAAATTAAGAACAGTAATAGCTATCACTTATTAAGCATCTATAACGTGCCTGGCAACTTGCTACATATTATACAAACACTCTGTAAGTCCTCCAATCCCCACTAAGGAAAGTATTATCATCAACTCCACATTTTAGACAAGGAGATGGTATTGCGGAGAGGATGAACAACACATCTGAGGTCACTGGGCTCCCGAAAGGCAGAGAGGGCTGAACCCAGGTCTGTGTAGCTGAAAGCCTCACTCATCACCACTGTATCTTGTGCTTTCCTGTATTTCTAGCAGAAAATGTAATGACAGGAGTGTCTGTGTACAGAAGCCAAGTTCAGACAAAGTGCAGACGGCTTCTGAATGCCAACTACATGTG